TATGTTGAAAACTGAAAAAGGTTGATTTTTTTATTGTATTTATTTCAGATCGTTCCTATGGCAGCTTTATGATTTAGTCTAATTTTCATAAAATTAAATTCAAAATTTTAGAATAATGAAAAAAAATAAATCGCTATTTAATGAAAATATGTTTAAAACTGGGAAAAAAAATAGTTTTCTTCAAATTTTCCAATTTTTTATGATATTCCGTTCCGACTTATATTCGAGTAACTAACGAAAAGTTTCATTCAGACAGCTTCAGAAATGGCTAGATAGACTCGGCTGTTGATGCTCATCAAGAAAATATATACACTTTATATGATTGGAGATGACTCTTTCACTGCGTTGCAAACTTGTGGCTAAAGTTATAACACCCTCTTAGGGTATAAAACACTATCTGCATTCAGATAGTTCTAAATCTGGGAAACTGGCTTGCGTAGAAACAGTCAATCTGACTTGGCTACATGGTTGGTTTATCAAGAATATATAAACATTAAATTAAACCGGAAAATAATATTTTATCTTTGATTATGAAGAGAGTAATGTTTTTAGATTCTATTATGCATGTTACTGAATCCATTAAATCTCTATTTGTCCTTTTTATCGATACAAATATAACTAAATAAAATTATGTTGAAATCATTTTTCAATGACCGCTAAACGATACCTTTTTTCGCAATAGTTAAAATAAATGCGTACTTATTGTATATTTTTTTTAATACAAATTTAAACTAAAAATTAAATTTAAATGTAATCTTCGATATTTTATTTGTTTTACAAATATGTAAGAGCGTGTTATTTACTGTTATTCAATATGTATGTGAGAACATCATTTTTACGTCTTACAAATCATATTTTTCCTATTAGGAAATATTTGTCTTTTAATGCTAATGTAATACTACAGTTATAAATATTTTAAATATAATAAATATTTATTTTCTTTTTATATATCTTTTGTATTTAAATAAAATTTTGCTAGGTATGTATGATTTATAAAACAATGTTATATATTCATCATTTGTGCGATTAAGTTATTAGTCTCTCACTCGGTTTTGAATTTTTCGATATCTTAAAACGATTGTTTTAAATTAAATACAATTAAAAAAATATATAAGTATATACCAGCCTCTATTATAGTTATTTTTGACTAGACTCGAATATAATAATCTATTGATAACATAATTTATAACACAGATTGTAACGTAACGTAACGTAAAGCTTAAGAAAACAAAATATTTCGCGTATTTTTAATAATCTACGCATTATATATTATAGTTTTATAAATATGAAATATGATTGACTATAATTGTATAAGTCTTTTATTCACATTAATCGTAAGCTTTGTTTAAATATATATTTATGTTGGTATGGCTCCGTAAACTATTTGGATTTAATTATAAATTATATTTGTTAAGGTATTTATAGATTTATGTGTGCTCATGTCTTAAAATTATTGCTACTTTATCAGTCATTTTTTTATTAGGTTTTTTGGTTTTTATTTAAGAGTTATGTTATTACATGAAATGTCCTTTTTTATATTTTAAACTCCTAATTATGCGGTTTAAAAATTTTACTAGACATAATGTTATTATTTAAAACAAAGTTTTTCTCCTCAAGTATGACTTAAAAAATGTTATGTAGATCGACTTTCTCAGAACAAAAACAAGGCACAGAATTCTAGAAATTTAAAAAAAAATGTGAAACCCTTGCGCATGAACATTTGTATTAATTTATTTTTTCTCTTTGCATGTACAAAGATTTTGTTCTTTTTTCTTTAACAAACTTGACATTTTTCGACATAGCATAGCATCGGCACTTAGCAGAGCTAGAGCTTCACAAAAAATTCACATAATCTCATACTTATACACACATAATGAAAGACGCCGGGGTTTGAGATAATTGAATATTGAACATATGAATTTATTAATTTATGTGAAATTAATCACAAAGAAAGGAAACATTGCAGGAGTAGTCCGGCACATAAGCACTCACTGTAAATTACTAAAACTTCTGAAATAATCTGAAGTGAAAAATGATTAAATGCTTAAAATATTCTTAGAACTATAAAAAATATAAAGAAATCATACAAAAAAACGAGAAAAGACAATAAAATTCAGTCCAATTATTAAACTTGCTTATATAATTTTAATGCATTTCGGGTCAAGCTCATAACCAGTTAATCAACAATTTCCTTTAAGACGACTTTTCAAAAAAACATTTTTTAAATATATAAAAATAAAAAGAAGTTGGAAAGCTTTTGTTGATTTTTACCGACTAAGAAATTAAGGGAATAACGGATAATGGAGTTTTTTTGCGCAACACCCAAATTAACGATAATGTTGAAAGGTACATGCTAAGTTACAGTAATTGGTTTATGATGCATTATGCACAAAAACTTCATTGTCTAAGAACTTCCATCATTACTAACGACCAGAAACCAAAATTAATATTTAGTTGGTCACAGTGATTTATGATTTGAAACAGTGGACAGATGGGCATGACTAAATCGATACTGTTGGTAATGCTGGTCAGGATTATATTGTCTTCTTTTGTGTTTTCATACATTCTTGGTTGGCACTAATCAATAATACCCTTGCAAGTTGGGTACTTGATCTAAAAACAGCTCCAACTCTTTAAGCGACACAAAGACACATTTTCATTCATGTTCCTTTTTGATAGATAATGGAAAAAAAAATAATTAACTTACATTTTTGAGTTTTTAGACTGTTTTTATTTTAAGTTATTTTCACCATTTCTTACACCTTTGGAATTATTTCTACTTATACAGTCCTACCAAAGTATTCAAATGTTACGTAAATTTTCCGACCGGTCAAGGCCGTCACGAGTGAGCTAGTCCGTCCTTACTTACAGGATTATGAAGCAGCTTTAACTTATGGAGCTAATCTCCCAAAGAGTGACGAGATTGGGGAGTTTTTTGAATGTGTTAAAGGTAAAAGGTTAAACACTGAGTTTACCATTTATGTTAATAACACAAATCTTGACTCCAAAGAGTGCCATCCTGAGTAACATTTCCTTGAAATTCACTACTCGAATCAGAAAACCTCCATCAATAAGCTTAATAAGGGAAACGACCGAAAAAGAGTGAATGATGCCCTTGGAGCTAGGTTTGATCCTATGGCCGAGAAGATTCGGTTGGAGGCTCGTGAAAATAAAGTTGAACGGAAGAAACTGCTTAATTTTTCACACAATTCTTCTCGTTCTGTTGTTGATCAACCGACATTTTTAACTAAAAAGTTGATGAATTTACGTTCCTATTTAATTATCATCCTTTTTTGTATGATAGTTGTGCTGAACTAACTCAAACCTTTTGATATGGTTGGATAAAACGTAAGAATCGTTACACCAAGATTCTTGGAAAAATTGTTTTGGATAGTTACAGCTAATTTTTATTTAACTCCGTTTGACAGACTGGGTTTGATCAGACTTTACTTTCTAAAACTGATTTACCCACCCGCTGTGGCGGATTAAAAACGGAACCCTTAGGCAGCCCTTTTTCTATACCAGGACTTATTAAGTACGTCTCCTCTATGTGGGTATATGATCTTGAAATGCTACAATCATTAACCTTTCATGTGGCGCAGCATGCTAATTTGGTTCATTGCGGCCATCTTGAGACCGAGCTCTTGAGAGAGAGGTAAGGTTTTGGTTCGTTTGATTCTGTATGTCAGCATGTCAGGGATGTTTACTACTTAATTTTGATTCACATAGTGGGGAGTACTTTCATAACACATATTTAGATTCCCAACTTACAATTGAGCATGAAAGGTATGTACGCCGGATATTATTGCTTTCTTTAAGAAAAATCAGAATAGAATGAATTTGGTAAGTGATGATAAGGTACTGGTTGTGGAATATCGCCTTTCTTAACTTTCTTGGACATGTTTTAGTGCGATCGCTTGGGTCCAACGTAATTTTTCTTGTAAGTAAAAAAAAAATATATTAAAACCAAGAAAGGGAGCTAACTTCGGCACGCCGAAGTTTATATACCCTTGCAGATAGAACTTCGATGACTAGGAATCCATACAATATAAATTATATATATTTTTGTTAAAAAACAATGAAGTAATACCTGCTTTCATTTCATTCACCTATATTCACGATATCATATTTGCAGATTTACATTCACAGATTTGCATTTTTGCTCCACATCTAACGATCGTTTGTATGGCACCTATATGATATAGTCGTCCGATTTTCATAAAATTTGACACAAAATTTAGACTGATCTAAATTGGCTATATCTCAAATTTGATGAAAATCTGTTGAAAACTGAAAATGTTATAATTTTTTTGTAACATTTTTTCGATCATTCCTATGGCAGCTATATAATTTAGTCGTCCGATACGGCCCGTTCCGACATATATACGAGTGAGAGTATATAGAAGACTAACTACAAAGTTTCATTCAGATAGCTTCACAACTGAGAGACTAGTTTGCGTAGAAACGGACAAACGGACATGGCTAGATCGACGCGGCTGTTGATCCTGATCAAGAATATATATACTTTATATAGTTGGAGGTGCCTCCTTCAGTGCGTAGCAAACTTCTGACCGAAATTATAATACCCTGCAAGGGTATACCAACATTATGATGCAATACATAATTAACCTTTGTAAAAAAAGATAACAATACACACAAAAAAAAAAACTAAAAAAATAATTACAAACATAAAGATTAATAAATTAATTACATGTTTCGCACAATGACTATCGATTAAACATATATGCATCATGCCCGGTTAACGGGTTATGCTGAGAGCTGTAAAAACGTTACTGGTGTTGCTATTGGCTATTGATAAAAAATTCACGTTTCCAAAGCATTGGAATCCAATTGATTTTGCATTAATAGATGTAAAAAGCTAAGCTAAAATAGAATAAATAAATAATATAAAAATAAAATAAGTAATTAATTGAAGCGGTCAAAAAAACCAAAGCTATACAAAATGTAAAAAAAAATAATAAATCATTACTTCTAAAAAAAAACAAATTTTAACTCGATAAAAGAAAGTAAATATACCGACTCTGGCTCTAGATATCGATGTTTTCACAGCTCTAATCTTAACATAACATCTTTAATTCCTATAGCTTTAGTTAATGTCGTGAACACATATGTATCTTTATCTTGTACAATTGAAAAGTTAGCCCAATATGCGCATTGCATGATAAACTATCGAATTACAAATGGGACAGACTGCTTCCACTGAAACACAAATTTGATTAGCACATTCCATGCAGAACATATTATGACCACAGGGCACTAAAGCTGTGGTCACTTGATTCTCATTGCACACACAGCACTCACGATGCATTACAAACTTTTCGGCATTGCTCGGTTGGAAGGGTTGAATGGCAGTCTGTGCTGGTGTTTGAGCTTGAGATTGCGCCTGTGCTTGTACCATTTGCTGCTGGTTCGATTCCCTTGATGTATTATGTACAATTGTTTGCTGCTCTAAAAGCGAATCTGTGGGACTTATAGAATTTGTGGGCGAACACTGGTGATGATGATCTGTAGATAATACCATATTTGCCGTCTGAGTCCAAATGTTGGGCGAATCCCCGATTCCCTCATCGACGTCAATTGAATCATTTAGTTTTTTCCATATATTTAAAATCTCTGGTGGCGTATTCGCATTTGTACTGTTATTAGTACTTTTTGTAGAAGTTGTTGACGATGCTGACGAACAGGACCTGGTTATTATGTTGTTAGTAGTAGTTGGGTTGGAATGATTTAATGTGGATGCGGCTAATGTTGATGAAGGCAAGGCTTTGTTTGTATTCCGAAAAACACAGTTTTCAGCCTTCGTTTCAGTTTCCAATAGCTGATGGTGCTGTTTTCCAGCTGGAATGCTCGATGCCGTTAGTGTAGGCGTCAGTTCAAAGTCGGAAATGTTCTCTCGTTTCTTGTAGCAATTGTTGAGTTGATAGTTTTGAATTATTGGCTTCATTTGATTAATTGAATTGTGTACATAGTCCGGATGCACGTTCTTATATATAGATGTTAGCAGTTCGGTATTTAAATCATCGTTTAATATTTGTGTTAATGAGTTAATAGTACTCGAATTGATAAAATCATTCGATTCGACGATGGATGACGACTCACTTCCCAGCACTGGAAACGAACTACTTCCAGTTCCCGTTCCTAAGCCCACACCCGTCCGTAGGGCAATGTGGGCTTCGATCTGCTTTCGCGCTGTATCAACATTATCGGGCAAGCCGGTCACTTCGAAGATCGGTTCCTTTTCCCGTGATGGTGTCACTATATAAGTCTGTGTCTCTTGTTGAATGTGCTTAATTGTTGCACCTTTGGGCCCAACAACAAGGCCGACTACTCTGTAAGGTACACGTACCTGTATTGTTATCTGGCCGGGCATGCAGGGTGGGCCGGATTGGAGGCGAGGTACAGCACCGATGCCAGAACTGGAAGAGGAACCGGAACCGGAACCATTAATACATCCTCCAACTGTAACCCCGCCTTCCCCACTGCTTGTGTGGCCATCTGCTGTCATGGGCTTACGTGATGCGCGTATTAAGCTGAAATGATCAGCAGCTGAGAGTATTTCACGCTTTGCCTTACTTACGTCCTCCTTGCGACCGGTCACCACAAAAACTGGTTCCTCACCGCGAACCGGTGTTTTAATGTATGTGTTAGTTTTAGCCCGTAACGCCTTTATTTTGCAACCTAAGAAATAGAAAAAACAAGATCTTATTCCTTCTGTCAATTAAGTAAACAACTTTAAAATTAAAAAAGAAAAATCAGTAGATTTCGTTCATTTTATCTACTCGTCCTCTAAGATTTATTGATTCTTATACCCTTGCAGGGTATTATAATTTTGAACAGAAGTTTGTAAGACAGTAAAGGAGTCGTTTCCGACCCAATGAAATGTTTATTACATAGACATTACATTCGTCTGTCAATCTGTACCTGTACCTGCCTTCCCGTTACTATGCGACTACCCAGTCGGACTTTTTAGCCAAATTCCTCCCAACTTTCATTACGTCGGCGATATACACACTTGTGCGTATCGCCTGTGATAGGGACAAAAACTTGCAACCCCTTTAGGCCATTTATTTTTTTGCTCGCTTGATATTTGACTTTCCCGGCATGAGGCAATCGTGACGCGTGGCTCAGGGGTTAGAGCACCCGCCTTCCAAACAGGCTAGTGCGAGTTCAAATCCCGCTTGAGGCAAACTTTTTTTAATGTATTTTTTAATTTGTTAATTAAATGAATTTATTTTAAACAAATTTTGTTTCTGTTAAATATTGACCAACAAAATTCAAATAAATCAATAACTGTGGTTACATAATATAACCAAATTATACTACATAAAAAGTACACAAACTCTCGAAAATTAATCCTATGTAGTTTGAAAAGCAAAATGTAAAATAATTACGGGGATCGTCTTTTCTTTTGTCGTCGGACTTCGTGTTAAAAAAATATACCGAAAGGGAAATACCTCAGCACAGAATTCTACGTTGAACGGAGCAACGTTCGATTCAGGTACTAAATGCCGCGCTTACCACTTTGCTGAACTGATGAACATGCATAAGGCTATCCCTGCTCAACATAGTTTTCTATCCTGAATCGCTCACCGCATGGAGCAAAGTCCGACTGGATAGTTCCTGATTTTTAAAACTATCTGAATAGCTGAGCTTGCAGGGAATGAGTCTCGACAGCGAGCGAGCTTCCTTTTTGTTTGAGGCTAATTATCACATTCACAGTCCGAAAAATAGTCAAGAAAGTTCATGATATCTTTGAACAACTAACAATTCAAAATGTAATGTAATAAATATAAAACAACAATTACCATCTTAACATCATTAATATAAGGAGGTCGCAGATTTAATTAAGCGGAAGCTCAAACGATGCAAACTATATTAGAACGTGTGCAATAGCGCTCCTCATAAACGTCGTTTTCTAACATACATATGTATATTTACATACATACACATGTATGTATGTATGTAAACATATATGTATACATACATATGTATTTATATATGAACTCCTGACATTTATATTATATGACTATAAAATTTATCAAAATTGTATTTATGTATCCAATATCTATCATAGCACTATGAGGCGACCGACCACCTTTTTTGGCTTAATTCATATATTTAAAACGAAGTACATTTTTTAGATTCTGCTTTTTCAATCAATTTTATTATAGGAAAAAGATGTGTTGAGAAAAATGGGCGTGGTCCCGTCGTCGTCAAGGTACAACTATATAATTGTATCATGGTCTTCGTGTCACAAACATTTTTCCACATCAAATTATAGTTTTCTTTTTTTGCTTGGTTCAGGCGATCAATCAAAACAACATACCATAAAAATAAATAATAGTTTAAAAGAACTATAAAAAACACCCTTTTAATAATAACCGAACTAAAGAGAAGAAAATAATTTATAATTACAAACAAAATTATTAAATTCAGGGCAAAAGTATATAATTATAAACAAGATCACTAAATTCAGAGTTAAAAGCGTGGGGTGCATCCGTAGACACGGTAGTATCTCGCGTCAAGTACCTGTTTTTTTCTGTAATTAATTATATCAATCATTGTTTTAACATGTATTCAGTTCGATTATTGCTGTGAATTTGTCATTTGACTTATATACATAATGCTAATAATCCTAAGCACAACGTTTGAATACATACGTGACGAGATATTCTACAGCTGCACTGTGTTGTTAATCTAATAATTTTTTGTAAATATCAGATATTTTCTTTTATATTTTATGTTCACAGAAATACATTTATCATTGTTTGTAACAATAGTTAAACATGTACTTGGCAAAGCATTGCACAGTGAAACTGTTATTTGTAGGATTTTTCTATATAATTCTCCCCTTACAGATAGTTGCCCTTAGAATAATTGTAACATGGATTATAGATGCACCCCACGCTTTTAATTTTGAATTCAGTGATATTGTTTATAATTATATACTATTGCTCTAAATTTAATAATTTTGTTTGTAATTATAAATTATTTTCTTCTTTTTAGTTCGGTTATTTATAAAAGCGTTTTTTAGTTTTTTTTTTTTAACTAATTATTTTTATATAAATATTATATCTCCTGTTAGTTCTCCTGTCATTTCACTGAGATTGAATTCTCGATTCTCAATCAACCAATTGCAGGGGTATAAACTGCGGCGATCCATAACTATCCTTTATTGTTATTTTTTAAATATAAGAAAATCCACTGAAAACAAGTCTGTTGCCCCGGACAAAATCAATTAACCCCGTAAGATATAAGAGACTTATTTAAAAGGCTCATGCCGATTGCAGAGCAGTGAGAAACATCTTTCGAATGTGTGTAGACTAAAACTTCAGTAATTACAACCTAATGGGAGATTACTTACCCTGCCTACCGACTATTTCGGCCACATGCTCTGAACTGGGCACTGGAACACACTCAGTCATGTTTTGTGATTTCTTCGAACGATCTTCTAGAGTGCCCGTACCGGTGGCACCGGTGCCCATTGCTGTGGGCAATAAAAAGCAACTGCTGGATGACGATGTTAATGGCATATTGGCATTATCCGATTTTGAATTTATGTTGCCCATTTCGTAGTCACTTTGTACAGCTGCTAAGGGTTGTGCAGACTGCTGTTGAGCATAACATGTTTGATTGTCATTTAAGCCCACCAATGATAATTCCAATGCCAATTGCAATGTTCGTGGATCCTCTGATAAGGATATTGGCACAGTAGATGAAGTATGAAGAACTTTTGGCTGTTGTTCAGCCATTAGATGGTGTACAGGATTCATTTTTGTATTCATATTGTTTAAAATTTTTGATACAACTTGGACCGATGACATTACAGATGCAATCTTGTATTCTTGTCGGCTTTATTTGTTTAGGTTCCGTTATCCGTAAGCGTGGCGATGGAAATTTTGTAGATGAAATGAATATACATATATACATATGTTCAATTCACTTAATTTCGGTTATATGTTCGTTTATTCAGCCACAT